AAAAAATAGACTTTTCAAGACAAACACTGATTATTCACTTGTACGTACCTTTTAACCATGTTGCTTGGCGTCGTCCGGCCAACATCAGTGGAAGAACACGAAACGGAAATCGGAAAACTCGTCACTGTGGCGTAGATAGGTGTATGTATACAAGACAGGGTGTCGCGCACATAAGTCACACATCTACAGGACTGGTCATGTCTGGCACAGCCGCACAGGAAGACTGAAACGGACAAAGAAGCGAATAGACGACGAACCACAAGACACGACGCGCACGCAACTACTGAAAAAAAAATAACGCACCGCGACTGACACACAACACGGTCGTCGACGGCCGTATCAGCAGCGATAATAATAAATTATAGTGCAACCCGCGAACACGTCTCAACAGATCGGTGCTCCACAGAACACGTACGCCGCTGCACTGCTCGAACCGGATGCTCCAGCTGCAGTAAACACGGAAAGTTCGGTTTTGACCTRGCGACTATCGGACACTGGACACTGTCGATCCGCTCGACCCGCACGACTAACGGCGACGTACGAATGTCGATCGACTTGTATAGCAATATTATTGAAATGCTGTTATTATAAWGTTATTGTAGAATTATTATTATTATTATTGTGATTACTGATTGATTATTACGAAAATTAACGAGATAATAATAATACGAATATGAATATATGATACGTGACGTCACGGATTGTTAACGCGCGGACTGTTCGCTTACGGTGTACAATACACTTGTAGTTTGTACAGTGTACTCAGTGTAGTACACCTTTGGCAGCGGTGGTGATGGTGAACGCGGGTGCGTGTGCGTCTGTCTGGGTGGAGTTGGGGGGGGGCATTAGTTGTTGACCGGGTGGGTAGTGGTGAACACTACTATATATACATATACATATATATATAATAATAATAATGAGGCAATAATGTGCGTAGAAGCGTAGACCGTCTTTCTTATGGCACCGTGTCTTGTCGTCTATTCGGTTATTGTTTTTTGTTTCGTTTGCCTTTAGTATTATATTTATATTAATTATTATAACTATAATTTTCATTCGTTAATTGTTTCTCTCCAGGCCAACCGCATTATTAGTGAAACTAATGAGAGATGGGACAAGGATTTTGTCCTCATCTGGTTCGGTCGGCGGAAAATAAATATTATTTTATTATTTTACAAAGGTGTGCACTGCGACAACGGCGGTGGGTTAAAGTTAAACGGACTACAAAAGCGACCGTCGTCGTCGCCGCAGCTGCCGCTGTTCGTCACGAATGGTCGGCGGTGCGGTGGGGGCGGGCTGAGAAGATGTGTGAAACACGATACCGAAATGTGAACGTGTGGTGTGTACTGTGTCGCTCTTTGGTCTTTGTATGCGTTTACATCGTTGTTGTTATTTACACAAAAGCAACGTCAGCAGCAAAATAATATTATTATTCCATATTATTCCTTCGTGAGGGTACCGCGTAAAAAAAACGCGCACTATTTTATTAATGTTATCATCATTCGATTCGTCGTTGTTTACTTATGCAACGGGTATTCGCTTGCCTCGTATGCAATAAATCTTTATGATCATATTATTCAGTATTACCTACTGTTGTGCTAATGTGCTCTGCACAATATGATAAGAATACTGTCCACTGGTATTTTGAGTGCAKATGCATTATGCACATAGACAATCGCATAGACATGGTAGTATACTATCATACCTTTACCAGTATACCATTATAATATGGTACATCAGTACCTACCTATACTCGTCGYATATCATGTTTTATACTTAAGTAGGGTTATTATAAAATGTATACCTACGAAATATTATACTAAGCTGTTTAAAACTATATTATAGCACACTGCAGCATATAGTTGCATAGTACAATGATATACTATATAACTACAACCGTAGGTATGATATTCGAGGGTACTACCACTACGATGTAGATATAAATGTATCAATAACGTGGTGGTTACAAAACCGAATATATATATTGTACAATATTAACGTTACTCGTACAGAGTACAGAGTGTAGAGCACTGTAGACTGAAGTGCTAGTGCGCTATTCTATATATAATATACATTTTATATTATACGACATTGTCAACTAAATGTCAAATAATTCAGTGCCTCAGTGGGTAGGCTGAACAGGCCCGAGCTACATTTTTCAAAAAATTACACCTCCAGTTTTATTAAAATTATAAATGTATTTAAGTGGCATAGAACTCGAGATCGATACGACTTGAGCAATACAACGAATAATTTATAATATTAGCTATAATAACAGGCTTGTACACAGGATTGAATAATGGAGGATATTTTGAAGAAAAAAAATATATAAAATAGATAAATAAATAATCAGCAAATAGTATTATAACATATTTATATTAATTATTAATTWTGTAAGTACCTATATATTATAAGTTATGATTTATGCATTATTATTTATTA